TGGTACGTGCAAGAAATTATGTATGAGCCATATCAGTTTTATTATTATTTTAAACGACAGTATTTTGAACGTAACGTTGAGGTAGAAGCAACACGAAGATGCGTGATCGGTAGGTGTGGTGAAATCATGTCGGGTTTTGATACCCGAACAATAAAAATTGTATGTAACTAATACTATCGAAGTGACACCGATTTGAAAATAATTTTCGTATCGTGTACCGTTCACACTACTTATAAAAAGTCATATAATAACATTGGCAAGGTTTAATTAGTTATACATAAAGGAGGAAGATGATCGTAACAATGCGCTAGTTCTGTCTAAAGGAGGATGATTCGTAACAATGGGCTAGTTGTATGTAGATGAGGAAGATTATCGTAACAATGCGCTAGTTCTATCTAAAGGAGGATGATTCGTAACAATGCGCTAGTTCTATGTAAAGGTGGATGATCGTAACAATGAGCTAGATGTATATAGATGAGGAAGATGATCTTAACAATGCACTAGTTCTATCTAAAGGAGGATGATTCGTAACAATGCGCTAGTTCTATGTAAAGGTGGATGATCGTAACAATGAGCTAGTTGTAGCCTATATAGATGAGGAAGATAATCGTAACAGTGAGCTAGTTGTATATAAAGGAGAAAGGNTTTTTTATTAACGTAAACATTATCCGAGACGGGTCTACAAAACGTAAACTGGATAGAGGAAAGCGTGGGATTGACTATAAAAATGATGTATAGTTTGTATGATAAAGCATTATTTGTCATATTAAATCGTTGATCTGTCTTTTAAAAAAAGTTTTAAATTTCATAGTAAAGCAATTATTCGAAGATTTAAAAAAAAATAATAAACACTTTTCTTTATCTAAATTTTATAATTTGCCAGAACGAAAATCATCTCCAATTAAACTTCAATTAAATAGAATAAATAAAATAACTTTTATTGCTTGACGTTTATTTATGTTTCGAGTGTTTCTGGCTTTTTTATTGGTTTAAAAATACAAAATTTAATTATATTCATTGTAGGAAATTTACTAAACCATGCAAAATGTCAAATATTTTGCGAGTTTTCGATTGCAATCGAAGGGTGCTTCACATTGAACACAAGCAATCAGCAGCAATCCAATACTTAACAATTGTATTAACGTTTCTAATATGATTTATTATATGATTAATAACTTATCATTAAGGTACAAATGACCTAACTAAATAAATAATTTTATTGAGTTATATTGAAAGTTAAGAGTAGTTCAAATAATGTTTGAGGCCCGAATCTAGTTACTACTTACGAAACTTACCACTTCACGTTGAAAATGTATAGGAAAACTGTATGAATAATTATGTCATAAGACAGAAATATTCGAATATTGTTGCAATTGCTGAATAATTATTTGAGTATGCAACTAATTCAGCGGCTTATGGACTTGGTATTATGCATAAGAAAGAGGAAGAAAACAAAGAATCAGTTACGTATCTTGGCTTTTGTGTCTATGGAGGAAAGTTTATTTTTGAACTCTTCATTGTTAAAAAAAAAAAGAAAATTTATTCACACCTATAAAAGAGTTCTTATTCAGGAATATCGAAGTGTTTGAGGCGTGTCACACGGGATTCGGAGCCAACCGATTGTGCAACCAACGCCTGATAAAACCGAGTTAAAGGTTTTAAGGGAAAAAGTTTTCAAGGCAGAAAGGCATCCGACTTATAAAGGAGAAAACAAACGCCATCATCGTTTACCAACTTTTCCAAAGAACGTCATAAAACCTGCAAATATCTTGCCCATTAAACCCAACGGAGGATTTTTTTTCTTCTTCCTTCCCCCCGCTCTTAACGCTATCGACTTTGCTACCATCTACCCTCAATTCGAATCAGAAGAGTGTGGAGCGCGAAAAGTGTTGTTGGGTTCCCCGAGGAGCCCCTTACGAGTTGACCCAGGTGGTACAAAGCCAAGAGCAATTCGCATCTAGTCGCAGATTGGACAGCTGTCGATATGTCTTAATCTGGCTGGTCGGGTGTCGCTACGCTCTCAGGAAGTGCATCGTAAAATGGCAGCGTTGACTTCCGATGCATTCCCACGGGAGCTGTCGCGTCTTGGAAAAGATCGTTGCTGGGTTTTATGTGAAGTTAACCAAACGGAGTTGACGATGGTTAAGCTGAACTGCCACGTTAATACGCGACTCGCGTGATGCCGCTACTACCGTCTTGGAAATTGGAAGGCCGGTTTTATATAGGAATCCAACTTCTTAATGAAGTCCAGTTTTACGAGTAGCTGCTATGGGCTCTTCTTTTCGTCCTCTTTTCCTTTCTACCCAACTTTAAAAAAAAAAGAACGAAAACTTTCCCATTTTTCTGGAAAAACTCGGCAATGGCTTCGTGGCTTCAAACGTGCTAAACTGTCGAAAAAGACATAAAAACGATAGCTCCTTTTATCATTTTGAATAGAAAAACAGTGAAATTAATAGCTCTTTAATCTTGATTTATCGCGCTTTGCTGATTTTATTTAACCTTTTAATAAATGGGACAAGTAATATGACAGTCAAATCTGATAGGTTTCAACATATACTATCAATCTATATCCTTCTTTTCCTCTTCTCCCGACTTTGAAAGAACATCATAAGAAAACTTATACATGTTTGAACCAATGGTTTAGTAGATTCAATCCTCCAAGTAATGGAAAAGGACATAAAAATCCAAGTTTCTTTTGGCATTCTGAACAGGAAAACAGTAAAATTAACAGCTCTTTAATCTTGATTTAAAGCACTTTGTTGATTTTATTTATACAGTTAATAACTGGGACAAGTAATATGACAGTCACGAGTCTAGAAAATCTGATAGGCTTCAATATATATAATTTAACTAGCGGTCTGTATCGCGGAGTTTCGCGACAAGCCATCCTTCAAAATGTAGACGTTATGAACTATATTCATTATTTATTAATAGAAAATAATCAATGCGGCTGCACGATTTCTAGCAGATGTAGTTCGATTGACTTGTTACCACGGCCTTTCTTTCCAACCATTCTCAACAAACAAAAAAAAATGCAATCATCTATCTCCATTTCGTCTTAATTCGTTTGTCACGTGACTTGAATTTTTATACGGATCAGTGTTGCCAATACAACAATTGTTTATGAATAATANTGATCTTAACAATGCACTAGTTCTATCTAAAGGAGGATGATTCGTAACAATGCGCTAGTTCTATGTAAAGGTGGATGATCGTAACAATGAGCTAGTTGTAGCCTATATAGATGAGGAAGATAATCGTAACAGTGAGCTAGTTGTATATAAAGGAGAAAGGTCGTAATAGCGCATGTAGAAGAGGAAAAAGATTGTAACAATGTATTAGTTGTATATAAAGAGGGAAGGTCGTAACAGTATACTAGTTGTATAAAAAAGAGGTAGACGAAAGCAGTAGTGTGACTTACTAGTTATGTAAGAGGAAAACAGTTGTAACAATATATCAGTCGTACTGTACACAGAACAGGGAAGATAATTGTAACAATATATTAGTTATATATAAAGAAGGAAGAATGTAGAGACAATATACTAATTCTATATAAAGAAGAATTGGCATAGTCATTCTATACAACAGGAATAAGATCGTAACACTATAGTTGAAAAGTCATAATTTTTTATCTAAATATAAAGTCTATGTTTAAATTTAACATTTTAAATTCTTTTAAGTGGTATTATTTCGTTTTGACACTATAGATTCGTGTCTATCTCCTCTATAAAAGGGCCTGTATTCTTAGAAGTTCTTAAGGTTTGTTTAAAACTTATTTCATTTCAGAATTGACCTGATTTATATACATACAGTTTATTTTGAAGTAGTATTAGCAATGCAAATCTCTCATTCTACTTTAAATTTGCAGGAAACAATAGTCTATAGAGTCTATTACTTAAATATATAGGCTCTATCTAAAGTATATGGCTATAAAACTATTTCTCTTACTAGTTACTTTATTCTAACCATCTTAAATCTTTATTTAAAGCTTGATTAAATGTGTAATATATACAATTTTATTATTTTATTCGAAAGTTTGTAGAAATATTTATCAAAAATAGACACAAAATTAAAGTTTTCGTCCACTAGAAACTGTTTATTACTCTATAAAGAGCTATCAAAAATTTTAAAAAATCATTTTTATTTAATGTAAATTTAATACAAAACGATTAATTATAGACTAATAATTGTTTTAATTATAAAATTTAATTATTTTAAAGTTCAGATAGATTAATAATGTATAAATAAAAATCCTAATAATAGAGAAAACATTTATAATTTGTTTAATTTTTATTTTATAATATATTGGTTTTCGTAAGGTTATTCTGAAAGCATTGCTAATAAACTAGGAGAGAACATCATAAATATGTTTACAAGATTCAGTAATAGGGCCAGATTTAGACTTAAGTGGCTCGAAGCTATAATGTGTAAGAGATCCTTTCCCTTATCATCAAATAACAATAAAGTTAAAAACGTGAGGCCCTAAACTGTAGCCACGTTACATGGGGCCCCGAGTTGTTGCTTTCTGTTTAAATCTGATCCTATTTAGTAGGCATTAAACACAGAAACTTAAATTTCGTATTTAAGGGATTTATACGACAGTTATATCGAAAATCATAATGGGATGATGTAGATTTAGTAATTACAAGTAAATTAAGACTAAGTCAAAATGTCTTTTAAAAATACTCGAAAAACTTGAAATAATGCCAGTATCTCAGTATTAAAAGTAATGAATTGGTGTGTAAATAAATTTAATAAAAACTAAAATTATGTAAGATACAAGATCGCCATTTTGTATTACGTAAGTATAAGTATGGTAGAAATTTTAAAAACCGCATATAAAAGTAAACGGAGGAAAAATTATCCGAAATATCCACGAAAGTAGAAAGTGAATAAACGCGAAGAAAAGAGAGGAAAGGATAGATAAATCTCCGAATCTGAGGCTTCCAAAAAGGAAGGAAACCCGAAAAAAAAGCACAAGGAAGACAAAGCACTGGGGCTTCTATCTCCTTTATTTGGTAGTTGTACATTTCGATAAGTGTCGCCTGCAACCATCAAAATCATATACACGGGATAGGTCACGGAGCATGCGCAATCCGACACCACCAGTAGGCGCACTTCTGGCCGAGGACGGGGAGGGTGCGGCGGCGGGAGGAAGAATACCAGTAAAACACAAGGAAGGAGCTACTTTAGCGCTCCTCTTTCTTCTATAAGGAGTCCGTTTCCTCTCGAGTCACGCACGCACATGCACACGCACACACACACAGAGTGGCAACAGTATAACGCCGTGTCTCGGCCACTTACAGTCCGGGCCCAACGACGCACCGATGTAAGGTGAAGGCGTGGGTGGGATAGAAGAGGAATAAAAGTAGTGAGGTCGAAAGGTGGCTGAAGCCACTCGGTTCACTCGTGTATCACAGTGGTATCTTCACGGGCGAGATCGACACCTCGTTCACGTCACCAGACGGGCGTCTCGCTGATCGGTGGATGAGACAAGGAATTGGGGAAACTCGATTCCGATGTAGAACGGGGTGTTCCGTAAGCATCGGTGACCGAAGGTAGACTCAGGATACTGTCCGGACTTGACCTTTGAGACAGGATATCTCCGTGAGTCGACAGGTACGGAGCATCGGCCCCGAGATTCACAGGACCTGAAATATTAAATATTTCGTTATAAAGTCTGGTTTTAAGCATATTCGCAATTATTATAAATTTATAATTACTTTAAAGTGAACCTTATTGAAGATAACAATCTTGGAAAGAGGTAGAATAAAGAAAAATCAAATGTATTTGTGAACATTGACGGTCCTCTGCAAACTAAATAAGATAAAATTTCATACAACTAAACGTTGATTGGTTGAAATATGATTTTCTTAACACCGATTGGCTAATAAACTAGAAATTAACGAATAGCCATTCTTTTCAAGTTCAAATTTTACTTGTCGTAATGTAGAAGTTTTCTACGTTCACGAGAACATTTTGACTCCTTTAAATTCCCAAAATTATTACATTCATTAACGGTTCACAATAAGTTCTGTCGACTTAAAATTCAATTCGTCCATCATTAGGGACTTCCTAATATATATAAGTGCTCTGTATAATTTAGAAATTAAAATTTAAAATTTTCAAAAGGGGGTATGACGACGATTCGGGTTCCCATTTACGTTTATAAACAATTTCCTATAGACTACAATAAGTTTAAATCCTACAACGGAATAGCATCATACTTTTATCATTGGAAATCCCTCTTTCAGGATAGGTTCTGTTTGAGTAGAGCACGATTCGGGGTAGAATACCCGAATAATACCAGGTATGCGCCACGACTGTATTGGCCAATAGCGGATATTCTGCAATTGAGGAAAGATGTTTTGTAGATTTCCATCATATAGCATTATATAATAAATTGTTAGAATAAAATGCTTAATAAACATCATTTTAATTTCCTATTTCCGAACCGATTTATTATTCATTTCCGTTGAAACATTCAAAATAATTTCATTTAGATAAAACAATTGTACTTTAATCGACCATCCAACATCAAATATCGATCGATAGATGATCGATGCACCTGTTAACATCGCTTGTTGTTCTAGTTGATTAGTCAATTCGATTTTAGCAGTAAATTTGAATTTCTTCTGATATTTTTTTTTCATTTTTATTATTTGAAAAATACTTTAATATAATAGGGAAAGTGTTGTTTTCGTCTAAGAGGGGAGAAAATCGATTTTAAAGGCAAGAATTTTACATACGTTTCGACTTGTCCCGAACACCATTTGATTATTTTTAGAAATGAGATTTGCATTTGTATAGTTTTTCTTTATAGTCTACTCAATACGTCTGTGTGTCTGTTCGCTTTGTTATCTATTCTACCCGAAGACTTACCATACTTTATATTTAGGAAGTGCGTAAGTAGGTAATACTTATACTTACCTACATAACACTAAGTGCTACTAGTATAACTATAGGTTGTAGGTCGTATAACCTAAGTAGCACGCATATAGTAACTATATAACTATAATTAATATTTAATATAGTATCTAGACAGTACTATTAATTATAGATATTATCTTTTAGCTACATATGTATTTGAGTATCTGTAATCAATAACAATTAAAACACTATAATTTTTTAAAAAAGAAAGCTGTAGATAGGAGGTTCTCGCGTGAAATAATTACTTTTATGCAAATTTTTTTTATTGTTTTTTAGCGTATATTTTCGATAACAGATGATAGCTACATATTATAATTTATAGATTAAAAATGACAGTATTACCAGAGCAATAAGCAATAATATATACACGAAGGATCAGTTATACAGCAGCCATATCATATTTGTAATAGAGTAATTGTCTTTTAATCAACCATTACCAGTGTGTGGCAAGCTACATGGTCATTCCCATACTGTTGACATTTGTCCACAGTGTTAAGGCATACGTTCGAAAACCCTAATAATGAATTATCGAAAACCAGTAAAATTTTAATAATATTGCGCCGATTTAACGCGTTGTATCCATTTGAGAAATTCGTTTTGGGTATTTTTTCTTTTTTTCTACCATCGTCGCGTTCGACTTCCGGTGACGTGGATGCATCAGGTGTACATTTCCGGTCAGACCGGAAGTTAGCAACGTCACTGACGTCATTAGAGGGAGGGAGCGGATCAACAGGAACGACAGAAACGTGATTGAGTAGAAATTAGATTACAATCTGCGAATGGGAAATGGAATCCTGCCTGTTTGTATTGGATGCAGTTCTAGATTACGTTATCTGTTGAATTGCCACAGAAACAAATAAACGGAAAATCTGCTTTATTTTTCCGAAAACATTTTATCAAAATTTTAAGATTGGAAATTGTATTGGAAAGAAAATAAATACATTGTTCTTTTCATAAATTTACAAAATTGAAAAATCTTGTACGGTATAGAATAATCAAAGGATAAAAAAAAAATCTATTTATATAGGTGTGTAGATAGATTTTTTTCGAGAAAAAATAATTACTAATTCAAAAAAAAAACTGATTTGAAGCTGCTATATAAACAAATTTTCTAATAAACCACAGCAGAGACTCGAAAATGGGAAGAGTTCGCTTGGGCGTTAACACGTCAGCGCGTAAAACCATACATTACACTAGCCAAAATCCTTGTTTATGTCAAAGAAGTAGAGAGTAAATTAAATATATACATTTTGAAATTCTTAGAAAAAGTAGAAGTCAATTCGTAGAAGAAATGGCTGGAAAAATTCTTATTTTTGTCATTAATAAGAATGATGAGGACTACTTACCGGGGCCTACTGCGGAGACGATTGGTTGCTCCATAGATACCGGAGGTTGAGAGTTCTGGCCTGTGGACAACGGTAATGATCCGTGGTAGGGGATTCCGTCGGGTGGTGGCTGGCCGGGGAAAAAGTCGTAGAAGCCAGGCTGTGTTCCGTAACCGAAATCTCCAGGATTACTCGAATCTGCAAGAAGAAAAGAAGAAAAAAAAAATTCAGGAAGAATAGTTTAGTTTCGCCTCCTCTAAATTACATTCCCCTGGCTTACTTTTATCAGGTGCCTACTAGGCGATCTAGGCCGGGATTACGTAAACGTCCGACACAAAGAAAGCACACGGTCAGATCCATCCAATCCCTATGGGTTTCCCCAATATGGGCACTTTCTTCAACCAAGCGAAAACTCTAACGAAGCGTGCACTTCTGGTAGAGTAGTGCTCCCCTCCAACCACCAGTTAACCGCTTAGGGGTTATGGGAGAAAGCAAATGTTTTTCCACATGTAAATGCCACCCGTTTTCTATATATATAACTATATTTTTTTT